TCAGCAGTACTACTCTATAAAAAATACGTCATTTGAAAAAAAAAAAAGTCAAGCAAGACTTTCTTTTTCTAAAGCAGCTCAGTTTTACTCACAAAGAACACTTGTAGCTGAACTACCAAACCTCTTTTTCAAACAAGCAGAAAGCGGGTATAGCAATGATTAAAATTACTAAACCGTATATTCCTAAAGGTAAAGATCATACCATTAATCTGGTGTGGCTGTCAGTGTCACTGAGCCTCAGCGGTGCTACAAAAGTACAAGGGAATGTCATTATAAAGACATTATTACTGTTCTCCAGCACTGCAGTCTTGAGCTAATGGCCAAGTGGCCTCATTTTAAGTATCTCTAAAATGTGAAACTGTGCTATGGGAATTAAATGTTGCCTATTTTTTTAGCTTAAATATGCATTTTACAGTAGTTTTTAGTTGTCTTGCGTTTAATTCTGCTGGGGGGGAAAAAATAGGTCCCCTCTTCCCTTGTTGGGAAATGGGAAACCTCTCACGAGAGTTGGTCAGAGTATCCTCTGACTGCAGCAGGGCTCTGCCTCTGCCTAGGCTGTTACTGGCAGGAGCCTTGAAAAGGTACAGGTTGGTTAAGAGTTATGTTTTTAGTTAAATGTTGCGGGGGGGGGGTTTCTTCACTTGACAAAACTGTTATAAAGTAGAACAGCTGAGCTTTGGGAAAGGGATTAAGCCTGCATAGGTTTACGCTTAAATGCTTTGCACTTGCTCTGTAGTTTTTTAGAGGAGGTGCTCACCGAAATGAAATTTTAAAAACTTAAAGACTTACTTGTATACTTGCACATGTATTTACTGATTCCATAAAACATCAAGGCTTTATAGCAGTCACTCTAGAAAACGGGGCTATTTTACTGTATTTCTCATAGATAAGGGGCGTACTTCTTAAGTGTCAGTAAAAAAGGGGAGGAATTTGTGAATTTATGTGGCTGTGAGAATGAAAGCAGGATTTTCTGGTTTCTGTTGAATTTGTTTCTTCCTTCTTATTCTTAGGGAACAACAGGACCAGATCCAACAACAGTCTATGTAGATATGAGAGCACTTCGACATGACAGGTACAGATTATGTTAAAGCATTAACTATTTAATGACTGTAGAGGAGAAATTTCAGCCTCATTACATTGCATTGATATGATGAAATATTCTTGGCAGCAGCTAATCCCTCATCACTGTATACAAGGAACCCCACCCTAGAGAATCCTATAAATGACGGCTGTGTGCTGGAAGTGGTACGGCATCTCTTCCTCCATCACTTGTTCTGCTGTTCCTTTCTAGACTCTTACCTAACTTGCTGTCTGTTCATCAGTCTTGTATAATCTAGTCTCATTAGCTGTTTTTTACCTAACTAGACCATTAGCAAAAAGGGACGTCACCAACTGGCCAGTTAGTCACAGAATCACAGAAACAGTTAGGGTGGGTGGGATCTCTGGATGTCCCTCATGCAACCTCCTGCTCAAAGCAGGAGCAGCTTCAAGGTTTCATCAGATTACTGAGGGCCAGGACAAGTTCAGTAGCGACAATCTCCAAGAATGGAGATCTTCCTCCTCTCTGGCTGTATGTGCTGAGACTTACGCCCCACTCGGGGGGTTTTCTTTACTGGCATTTCCCATCTTGCATATTATGTCCCTGGCCTCTTCTTCTTATAGTATGCACCTCTGAGAAATCTGGCTCCATCTTCTCTGTAACAATCCTTTGGGTAGTGGAAAAAGTGCAGTTAGGAGTCCCCCTTAGACTTTTTCTTTTTTTCCCTCAGATCAAGCCAACTCCATTCCCTCAGCCTTCCCAGATGCAATAAATTGATGTCAGGCCTGTACTGCAGCGTATCAAAACACACACACATGCACATACGTACACACTTGTCATCTGGAAACTTGCCAAGGGTACATCATTCTGTCAGACATTATTCTGTAGTCATAAATTTCATATTAACTTGTCTCTCAGTTAACTTGGTTAATACAAGTGCTGGCAGCACCGAGTTCAGCCTGTAAGTTTAGTAGGGTACATGTATGTATGTATTTGTTTCTGTACTTATTTTAAGACATGTAATATCACGACTTGGTGCATTTGCCTGTTGTGTTTTGGTTTTTTTTTTCAATTGATAACATTAAATTAGGGGTTGATGTTAACTGGCAGTTTTTGTGACTACTCATCTGTGATTTTGCAAGCTTAAGTCTTAGCTGTTAGAAGATAATCTATTCACCATCATTTGCATGATCCCAATTTGGCATCTGAACAGATCAATGTAAACTACAGTCATTTTTTCGTATTTAATATATCGCTATGACTTGCATGGTATATATTCCTGTTAAAAACAAGTTCAGCCATAGCCTCAAAGCTGCCACTGTGTTTGTAAGTTCCAGCCTATGGGTGTGAGGATAGTGTAATGTAATATATAGGAGCCTCTTGTACACCTCTCCTAACTGCACTCAATTCTTGTTCCTTCTTGTACTATCTTCATAAGAGATGCCTCTGATGAGGCATAGTGTCACTTAATTCCATTTAGGCTGCTTGCTCTTCACTTTTTGTAATTCCTGCCAATGCTCTGCCATGGTTCAGTGTGGCAAGCAGAGATCCAGGAGAGTCTGACAACGAAGGTGAATGTAAAATGCTGATGGAACTGCAACCTTAGAGTTCTGTTGGAAAAACTTACTCATCTCTCCAGAGGGCTGAGTTTCTGATTCTGAAAAGAAACATTGTCTCTGGGAATGCTAATATGGAAGTCTTGAAGACAGCTAGAAACTCTTAACTGTCTTACTACATTGAGAATACCTGAGCATAATTGGCTGGCATAACAGTTTGGCCAGAGCCGCAAAGGATAGGGTAACACTGGATATACTGGAACACATCTTTTTACTTCTATTTTAGTTCATAAATCCTTGTACAAATGCATTCTCTTATTTTCTCAGGGTGCGTTTGGTAGAGAGAGGTTCTCCACACAGTCTGCCGCTTATGGAGTCTGGGAAGGTGAGAGACTGAGAGCAATCCTTCCTCCTCATGACCCTTTCCTGGGTGGTGAGCTGCTTCAGCTGGACCTCAATACAGAATCTGTGCAACAAGCTTCACTAATCACAGTATATCTGAGAGGCACTAGAGAGAGCATAAAATGAACAGCTAGTTAAAATGAAGCCAGGTGCCTGAAGTGAAGCAATAGGATGTGTTGCTACAACTGAAAAAATCAGAGGCCTTCATGTGGAAGGCGTTTTTCAGGTGTGAAACAATTTCAGCTCCGAAGCTGCAAAAAAATAGCTGCTTAGAGTTTGAACGGTTAAACAACTTGGTAGGAAGAGATGGTTGATATGGTGCAGAGAGGAGTAGAAGGGGAAGAATTGCACAGACTGACGTCTGTGGCTCTGCATTATTAATTTCTCTTTTGATGAACTCAAGTTCTCTTAACTTCTATTTTAAACATTTGCTTCTTATTCAAGATTCTTCCAGGGGTAAAGGTCATCATAGCACACACAGAAACCAAGGGACCTCTGGGAGACTCACATTTAGGAGAGGTAAAGCTTTGATGTTGTTGTTTATCAGCAGTGATTTAATATATAGATAAATCATGTTAGATAAATGCCTGTCTCTTAGTGGGATGCCCACATAATGTGGTAAGTGAATGAACTCTGCAAAGAGCTGTAACTGTCTACATACTTGTATGTGCGTCTGCATGGCTTCCTCCCTCCTCTGCCAAACTACTGCATGCCAGTACCAGGTGATATCAGTTGACTAGTCTGTCTGACTGGCAGCTAGAAGAGGCAGTGAATATCTTATGTACTACCATCAGTAGACAGTAGTAATGAGGTAATTTTACTCTGTGGTTTAATCTTTGTTTTATATACACCTGGATGTGTGTATACTAAGATGCCCAACTAATAGAAGATGGCAGGTTAACACGTGTTCCTTTCCAATAAGCCAAATGCCGTGTTCATTTTTGCTCTTTACCATTCCCAATTACATGTATATAAAACTCCTTTTTCATTATAATTTTCTGTGAGGCAGAAGTTAATGATTTATTTTAATAAAAATACTCCTGGCATTTTAGGAGGAAAAAAAATTGTTAGTGGAACAGATCTTTTAAATCAATAAATGATGCCACCTGGGTCTGGCAAAGTAACCTATGTTTACATGGGAATGATTCACCCCCTATACTCCTGGCATTTTAGGAGGAAAAAAAATTCTTAGTGGAACAGATCTTTTAAATGAATAAATGATGCTACCTGGGTCTGGCAAAGTAACCTATGTTTATATGGGAATGATTCACCCCCTTTTTTTTTTTATATCCCCTAGATATGGGTGAGCAGTCCGCACAATGCTACTGGTTACTACACAGTGTATGGAGAAGAAGCACTGCACGCTGATCACTTTACTGCTCGCTTGAGTTTTGGAGACACTCAGACCATATGGGCTCGGACTGGTTACCTTGGCTTTCTGCGCAGAACAGAACTTACTGATGCTAGTGGAGGTGAGAGAAGACAAATGTACTTACAGAAGCATGTGTTTGAAACTCCTTGGGGTTGTTGAGCTAGTAAAGAGTAAGCTATCCTTCAAGTTCATCCTGACTTCCATCAGAGAAAAGTGCTGAATGTGAAAGGACTTGTTACTCTGTACATATTCATTGATTAAAATGATACTGAGTAATCGTGCAAAATGAGACATTTATAATGTCCTTTTGACAGATTTAGAAGTCATGTTCATGTTCCTTTTTTCCACTTACATGAAGTAATATGAGCACATTTGTTAGAAGCACTAGAGCCTTTCTACTCACTTTTCCTGTGAACCTCTTTCCTTACAGACATGATGCAGTATTTCAGTGCTGATCTAGAGAATGAGTAATGTTGTCATTCGGCAGTTTTGTTGCTGAATGTAATGAAATGTATTGTCTGTGACTGGACTTAAATGAATAGTGGTATCTACATGTATAGTGTCAGTGTCCCATCATTGCTGTCACTCAATAATGAACGGTAGGGCGTTCACAGACACCTTTTACATTTCCTGTAATCACTCATGGTACAAGATAGAAAAGCAGTGTTCCCATTTCTGGAACATAAGCATCAGTTTGGGGGACGCCATGCATGTCCGTCCTACTTTTAGTTCTTCGTTATGTGAAGGAAGAAGAGTGAGCGAGGAGAGCAGTTTGTTGAAGGTGCAGACTTTTGTTGAGGAGCTACCCCATGTCTTGCAGTGGATACCAGTCCAAGATTCAGAAATGGTCCGTGATGTAATTTTGTTGGATCTAGTTGCTAAGAGAGGGTCATCCTCCCATCTACTGTGCTGGTGTGCTATTCAGTCTCCCTGGGACTTTTGAGAACAAGAAAGGTGCGTCTATTGCTCCAGCTGGAGAAATCCCTGCAGCTCACTCAATTCCATCCCCTCCAGGTCTGCGTCCTGCAGACTTCCCTCTTCCACAGTCAGAGTGCCATCAGAGAGCTGAGAGGTGAATTCTGCTGAAGAAACAGACTTTACCAGAGATGTGTGGTATCCTTAGCCCACAGCTACCACCACTACGCAGAAGGGTCCCTTCATGGCAACCGGCTTCTCCACCCATTCAGCCTACTTAGTGCACTGAGCAGTTCTGTGTTGGCCAGCCCCTCTGCAGTCTCTGTTCCTGAAGTAATGTGGTCTCAGGCTCTCAGTGGGAGCTGGTGTAATGTGGATCCAGCTCCCTGAAGAAGCTTTTTACTGCATATCATCTTTCCCTTTAGAGCTGGTAGAGCACTCAACCAAGGTGCTCTAAGCTTTCCTTGCTTTCCTCCTCTCCGATTTTCTAGGGTAGTTACTGGACATCCAGGGCACACTGTACTGCCACTTAGTGCAAGGTTCTGCACTGGATGCTTTGATGGCATTGTCCTTCTGTCACTGTTCAAAGTGAAATGGCTCCCTGTTCCTGAGAAATTGGAATCTGTGAGCAGACAGAGAAAGAGAAGTTGCAAGTGGCAAGGCACCAGATTACTATAGCAAGTTTTTGTACCTTACAGCTTTCTGAAAAATCATTTATCTTAGAGATTTTTATCACTGTGGAATAATGTCAGTTGTCCTTTAGTTTGTCAGCATTTGAGAGGCTATGTATGCTGAATTAACATAACAAGTATGCATGTAATACAGCGCAATTTCCCAACATGCTTTTTGTCTCAAGTTACACAATTGAGCAGAATTATAAAATGCATGGGAAAAAAAAAAAAGCAAAATTGAACTGAACAGAGCTACAAGATGAATGTGTCAATATGAAGAACATGTCCTTCAAGAAGGGTCTAGGAAGAGCTTTGCTTATTTAACCTAGCAAAGCTGAGGAGGGGATAGCAGCGAGTTGTTCTTGCTGCATCAACTGTGGGGAACTTAAGCTGAGAAGAATATTGCTGGCATGAGGACAAGTAGGTATAAACTGGTTTTAAAAAGAAAAAAAGTTAAATTTGGAAATTGGAAAGGTGTTCCCATTGATCAGAGGAGAGTTCTCTGGTAAGAATAGTGGGACAAAGAGATTCTTTAACAATGGATTTTGATTGGGTTTATGAACTGAGATTACATTACATGAGAGAAGGGGCAGAACTGGATGACCCAGAAATTCTTTTTAGTCTGGTTTCATTTGCTTGAAGTCAATAGGTGGAAGTGCTAACTGACCTCTTAATTCTCTTCTCTCCAAATGGTAGAGCTCGACACGTGTTACAGAATCCTTCTCCTAGGAAGCACAAGGAACATCTTAAGACATCAGGAATAGGAATAAGCATGTACAAATTACAATGTTTGTTCTGTAGATCTGATGATGATTTAAACGTCTGTGCTATATTGCAGAGAGGCATGATGCCCTGTATGTGGTAGGCTCTTTGGATGAAACACTGGAGCTCAGAGGAATGAGGTACCATCCCATTGATATAGAGACCTCTGTAATAAGAGCACATAAGAGCATTGCAGAATGGTAAGATCCTCAGTATTTTCTGTATCCTTCTATTTCTCCTAAAGCAGCAGAAGTCAAGCTTTGTGGAACAGCGTGCTAGACTCAGAGATAGCTGTTAGAGGGAGCTCACCAAAACTTTGCTTAGAAATGACTGCAGTGAGAGTAACTGAAATATAATGCCCCTCTTTCCCCTGCCTCTGCCACTCAAAAATAAAAAGCCCACCCTTTTATCAGAGTTTAATCTTCATGATCTGAAAGACAGGGAGAGCAGGGCGTGAAAGGGGCAGCAGAGCACTTGCGAGTTGTGTTGTTCACTCTGTCTGTGTCAGAATGTATGCACTTGGATGGGGTAAACACATCGCAAGGATTTCTTTGAATGGTATCTTCCAACATATAGTGTTCTCCTTTGGTCCTAATGGATGATGTATGCCATTTGGCTGTAGGTCCTCTACAGTCTCAAAGTGGTGGAGTTTATTTGTAATCTTTGGGAGGTTTTGTCCTTCCTTTAATAACCTCTGAAAATTTACACAAGTACATGTAATACCAATCACACACTGAATGTGAATTCTTAATGGTTCCTGTTTCAATACATAAGTGCAAAGAATTCTTAAATACATGCTTGTGTGCATATAAGAGGAAAAGATCTACTTATATTTTGTACATGAACAATTAAAAAACAAGTGGCAGAGAATATCGCAAGAAATTACAACTTTACTACTTCTTGATTCATAAGTATTTTCACATTATGATTATATCACTTGTTCTCATTTATTATATTGTTCAAGTACTTAGAGAAATTATTTCCAGTGAGTCTCTCTTTGGTAACTAGCTTCTTTTGACTATATATTACTTTCTCACGATTAATATTTGTATAATGCCAACAGTGCTGTGTTTACATGGACGAACTTGCTGGTGGTGGTTGTGGAATTAGAAGGCTCAGAACAAGAAGCGTTGGACCTGGTCGCACTGGTAACAAATGTGGTTCTGGAGGAGCATTATCTTATAGTAGGTGTTGTAGTCATTGTGGACCCCGGCGTTATTCCTATCAATTCCCGTGGTGAGAAACAACGAATGCACTTAAGAGACGGATTTTTAGCTGACCAGTTGGATCCTATTTACGTTGCCTACAACATGTGAAAACAGAAAATCACATCAAGGCTAAAGCACCAAATTCAAGGGACTTTCTGACTAATAACATTGGAATCCATTTTCTGTGTTTTTAAAAGCTGTTGAAGACCTTAGGAAAATGGAGATACTAATCTTCACAGACCTTCATCTCTCGGATTGCATTTGCTTTCATAAATCCATTGTAACAGTTACAGCTGTCTTGAGACGGAGAGTTTACTGGAATTCCTGAAGGAAGCTTCTTAGAACTATCATGGACCAATGTTTTTTTACAATAATTATGAATGTCAGTACTTGATGCACTGCATAAAAGGACATAAAGTGGGGTGGGGAGAGAACACCAGCTATGAGGAGGACTCTTGGAAATAATGCTGAAGTAGTGAGTAACCGTTCGGAGTTCACCCTCCATGTGATTGTTTGCAATATATTGGCAGTATCTGGGTTGGGACATAACTTTCAAGATTGCACACATCTACCATATTCTCTACTGTACTGAAAGGAATTTTGCACATATTTGAGATTTTAAAATGCAGCCTTTTTATTTTAAATCACTGACTCATCCCTATTCAGAAGAAACAAATTCATTCTGATCCCAGATTCGATGTAACAACAATTATGCTGCTGTTCAGCTTTTTTGCCAAGCAAAAACAAATACTGAAACTCTAACAAGGTTACTTATCATGCCATGCTGGACTCTGTAATGCTATAAACTTTATAATAAAATATAAATTAATATCCAGTTTTAACTACTTAATGCAGGAGCCTTCACTGCTCTTGCTGTTGTAACGTCATGTTAAAGTTGCTTGTTTTCATAGCATTAGCTGTTAATTACTGCCCTGCATAACGCCAAGTATTTGAAAATTCATTCCAAAGCCAATAGTCTCTGAATGATTAGTAGAAGTGTTTACAAAGCATGGTCTTACAACATGTTTTCCCTGAATATCCTGTGCTGAAACTTAAGATAGTGATTGTGATTTTTTCCGCACCCCCCCCCCCCGCCATGGAAAGATACTCAGTGTTCGTTAGCTTGATCTGCTGTGGTACAAACTTTTTTTTTGAGTTGTAGTTAGACAGACTTTTTTTGTTCAAGCTGAAATATCCAGTTGGTTGAGTCAGAATTGACTAATTAAGGTTTTGAAGTTTCTGCCTGATCTAATACTGTAGTGAACCTAATTCAGAAAGAGAATGTGAAGTTTTTCAAATACTTCATGTATTTGAAGGTAAGCAGGAGACTAGCAAATAGTTATTTTTATAGAGTTGTTAAAGACTTTGAGCTACATAGAATTTTTTTAATAATGCATGAGTTTGTCAAAAGAGACAGGTTTTCCTGCAAGGCAGTTCTGCCTGGATCAGTGCCTAAGAAAGATGGATGTCAGTCTCCTGATATGAGGATATCATATTGACTCTTGGTCAAATAAACTACACAATCTTGAACAAAAAGCTTTCACCTATAGTAGTTCTTTGCCCTCATGGTGTTTGACTGTAGTGTATTATACAGCTGCATACTCCGCTCTGACTGTAATTATGTACAGAACTTGTGTAACTTATTAAGTACAGCAACCTCTAGCAGTGGACTGTGGGACACGCCTCATAACTGAGCATCTGCCAAAAGGAAAGAACTACCTAACCCCCATTTTAACGTTGTAGTTTTTTTAGCGAAAAGCATTGTAAGATTTTTGTATTGAGATATTGATAACAGTGAGACCAGTTGCCTTGTAAAGGAAATCTGAAACAAAAAACACATTAAACATTTCAAAACAGCTCTCTAAACGGACTTGCTGGATGTTGAAACTTACCCTTGTTAGATCAAAAACTTATCAACAGCACACAGCTTTTACCTGTGTTTTGGACAGTTTAAGGCCTAAAGAGCTTTTTCTGAAAAAAAATCATTATAGTTGCTTTACAATTAAAGCAATTCCACATCCTCAAAGCCTAGATGTTCTCGAATTTCGTGACATTTTCTAAACTCGGAGCACAGCCCGGGGGGAGTTACAGGATGCTGCTTATTTCACACAGCAAAGCCAAGCGTGGCTCTTGACATCGTGCCCTACTGGGCCGGGAGGGCCGCCTGCTGTGCGCCAGGGCAGCTCCCCAGGGCCGCTGGTAGCGAGTGGCTCCGGGCGGCCGCC